AAATAGAATGACTACGTACTTACTCAGTCATGTTCGGGGTCTCAGCTTAAGTCCTTCCGAAGTTCAAAATCCTCAGTCTCTTCTTGTATCAACTTTATAGAATCTTTTAAGGGTGTTACTTTTACTAAAATGTGAGGATAGATTAAAAAAATCAAGGCGTGAAGTTTAATCATCATCTTCTTCTTTGGAATAAAAATTCATTGGTAGGCCATTATTCAAGTGAAATGAGGTAAGTATTGAAATTGGGACGAAACATAGTCGAACGAAGGTCAAACGAATAAAAAAGGAACTTGGATGTGTCTTCACAAGTGCAAATGGGAAGGAGTACACGCACGTCAAGATGGTGTATGCGCACCTATCGTATGTCACATTGCACACTTGGAGAGGTGCGACAAAATTAGGTTGGGTCGTGGGTACTGAATCGAGTCTCACACGAGTTGAAGGATTGTGGTTTTTAGAAAGAACAAATGGAAGTCGGATCGAGTTAGGCAACACATCTCCATTGGTCGTTGGACATGTTGCTCTAATTTTAACGCGACCCATGTCCACTAGCAAGCTAGATGCATTACTCCTTCCCTAGCTCAATACATGTCCGCCATTGGCCGCATTGCATTTCGCGTCCCTCCAACTAATGCGTGTCACTCATTACTTCATCTGTGCAACCAGTTTTCAAAATTAGATGAGATTTTCAATGTTTCCCAATTTCTGTACGTTTTCATTTGATACACAACTCAAATCTTGATCCCTTAAAATTTGTGAGTTCGTAATCCTACTTTCTAAACATAATTTTTCATAATCAATCCTCAACCATAGGAAGAAACATTCATGCACAAAGTGGATGATCGTTATTGGAAAATCCACCAAACCTCGGATTTCTAACTTGAATCTTCTTTGAGTTCCTTCATGGAACTCGTGCGGAATCACTCCCAGATCAATTTATCAAAAAAATCAGAACCTAATTCAATATTTTTTCTTATTAAAATTCCTCTCTTTTCCAACCGAAACTAATGATTTGGTTAATTAAGAAAGCATTCCAAAAGAGCAGATGATGAGTTCCATCAACGATGCAAACAACACTTGCTTTACCAAACGCCATCCCTTTGGAAACAAGCACCCTCAACCTTAAGCCTCTCATTTATCTCACACCCACCTTCTTACTTCAAAATTACCATTTCTTTACCTTCTTTACACTATAACTAACTTACCCAATTCAAACCGAGTGAAAAACGAAGCATGCTGGAAGGACTTAGGTTGGTTTGTGGGATAGTTTTTCACTCTTAAAATTGAAGAGCAAGTAACGTGATCATGACGTAGAAACGCAGGGAAATCTCTCCACTCTTAGAAGTGAATAGTAAGTAACGTGGCTATGATGCAAGAGTACATCGGGATCATCAAGTCTTGAATCCAGATAACAGTTAATTAATATCCTCGTTTAAACACCAAAAATATGTATAAACACCTAGTTTTAAAGACAATTATTGGAAACACTTGGTGAATCACAAAAGGTACAAAAAAAGTCATTCTCATGAGTACCACACACACACCAACAAAATTAGTATGATTTGGTAAGACTTTCTTCCAAGGAAGACAATGAAAAACAAACCCATTGTAGACGTAGTCGTTGAACACTCCTCATCCCAATCCCCTCCGATCGAAACATCCCATCTAACCCCAAAATCATCCCCATATTTCTATAAACAACACCAACAACAAAACCCCCACATACCAAATTCCAAATATCCCAAATGAATTGGCTGCCTCTCGACAATACCCATTTAACCTTCTTCAAATGCACCCGATGGCAACTAGAAGAGACATTAGACAAATTCACCTGCCCTTATCATTATTACTGCGACACCGTTTACCCCGGCAATTATCCCCCCACCGTTGATTTACTCGTTCTTGTCTTCACGGTGGCGACTTACGTCTCGACCCTTTTGTTCATGCTGGCCGACGTATCGTCGTCTCGTGGGAAGAATTGTTTCGATCAACCAAAGAGGTTCCTTTTACCATCTGGGCCTGTTTCTCTTCCGATTTTCCTCTTTGTATTGACCAAAGGCCATCGAATCAATACCCTTTTCCCTCTGTTCCTCATGGGTCCTGCAATTCTTCATTTGGTTTACATCTCAGCTCTCACATTTGACAATAATGGAGGCGACAAGGACATTAAGTATGTGTTCTTTGAAGCTTCCACAATGTCTGGGATTCTTCATGCGAGCTTGAATTTGGACGCTCTGATTCTGCCTTACTACACGGGGTTGGATGCTTTGATTGGGTCCAATTTTTCTGGGGAATGTCCATCGTGTGTTTGTAGAAAGGAGCCTTTGGTTGTTGGGGGGAGGCTTGTGTCTTACAGGGGTTGGTCGGGTACTACGTTTGTGGTTGTGTGTGCTTTGTGTACGAGGATTGTGTGTCGGGTGTCGGGGGAGAAGGTGAAGAGAAGAGCTGCGGTTTTGAGGTGGGTGTTGGAAGGGTTGGGTTGGGTTTTCATAACGTGGGATTGTGTTTATTTGAGTGGAAATTTGGGATTGGAGAGAAGGGAGGTGCAAGGTGTTGCTTATGGTTGTGTGTTTGGTTTGGTGTTTGTTCATGTGGTCAAAGTGGTGAGGAGATGGCAGTTGATGTGTTATGTGGGGAATGATTATGAATTGGACAATGCGTAAATATGGTGCTCTTTTTTTTTCTTTTTTTTTTTTTTGGTGTATTTTGAGTTTTTTATTTGTATATAGAGAATGTTGTCTTCAATGCGACGTTAGTGAAGCTTCGTTGCGTTTTCTTTGAGTTTGTAACTCATTAGAACAAAAAAACACGAGAAAACTTGAATAAGTACAAAACTCAATAAGTAACCTGCTTGTAAACTTTTAATTATATTCATAGTAGATGCTAGAGTACCACATTCTTTTCTTTAATGTTCTTATTCTTCTTATTCTTTTCTTGAACGTTCCTACTCTTGTCCTAAGAACTTAGGTTCTTAGATTTTATCTTTGAGTTCTAAATTCTTATCGTGATTTTGAGGACCTTGGTCTTGGGTTTTGTGTTCTTAAACTCTGTTTTGATCAACGATCTTGTTAGGGTCTCGGTGGGAATGTCCGCATATTGTTTTTTTAGTGTAAACTTAATAGAAAATTTAAGAAGACAAAATTTTAATTCTGCAACATACAATTTCTTCCGATCTTCTATTTTGTGCAGAAAAATCATCATCATGCTTAAATGTAGAAACTTGTTGTAATGTACTCTTATGTTTTTTAACCTTCTTTTTAGGCCTATTTGTAGGCTTCGGAGATGGAAAGTTTGAAATCTCATTTTTATTACCCCTAGTGACCTTTCTCTAGTCCTCCTTCGTTCAGATGATAAGTTCGATGAAACCACCGACTTATAGGTTGCATTTCCCTGATTAAAATAGTTTTTGGTTTGTTTTTGACACTGTGAGTTAATAAGCTTATGATATTTCGCTTGTGGTTGCTTGTTTTACGGGAATCTTTTAGCCAATTGGGGGTATTCTAATCAATATGATGAGTTTCCTGCATTCAGTTTGAGTATTAATGTTCTATGATGATGAATTTAGTTCGAAGTCTCAATATCATGGTTATGTTGCTTCGGACTTGAATATTAATTCTGTTGAGCTAAAGGTAAGTTGTGTGCCTTTCCATCAAAGGTGAAGTCTGGCCCTTAAATTATAATCTCCATTTGGTCTTTTACACCGGAGGAGGTTTGCGATAACCTTCTCTTCATTGAGCATCAATGCAGGCTCTAAATCATCTATGAATGTGAGGTTTGTCTTCTCATCGTGCTCCTTGATGTAGCACTCTAAAGCCTCTCCCTAGTAGACGCGTTATAAATCATGAGGCTGACGACGATACGTAACGGGTCAAAGCTGACAATATCTGCTAGCGGTTGGCTTGGGCTATTACAAATGGTATCAAAGTCAAACACTAGGTCTTGTGCCAACGAGGACGTTGTGAGTCACAATCACCCTTTTCTTGGCAGTGGATTTGGTGATTGTGTGTCACCCACTCTCAATACTAAGTGAGTCAAGTCAACTTATGATCATGTCGCCTACGACCACCGAGTAACATAAGAACGTTAGAAAATAGGGCAAAGAGATTTTGAAAGCAAAGTTGGGAGAGATTGAAAGAAATGTTGTATGATATACAAGCAAAAGAAAACACAACGGCTTAAATAACATATGACTTTTGGGGTAGAGAGAATTTGAGAACTAGTCTCATCAACCTATAGTACCTTTTGAGACGATTTAGGTCTAGCAGACCTAGACGTGATTTCGCCAAACGGTCATACAAAATCAGAGAGAGAAGTTGACAAGTAGTCACACCCTTTGTAATACATTCTGGGGCATTTCATATCCACAAGGCGTAGACATGATTCTACTTAAACGTCATACACTTAGAAAAATAAAGAAAGAAATTATATATCTTGAAAGCAGTAAAGGAAAGCGATAAAGTGATACAAGGCAAGAGTTTCGACTTGTAATGGGCATGCGGTCATGGACAACACGCTTTGGACCAGCATGACCGAGACACTGGAACTCAAGGGGGTGGATTGTGAGATCTCATGTATGTTGGAGAGGGGAAAGAAACATTCCTTGTAAAAACCTCTCTTAGTAGAGGCGTTTTAAAACGTGAGGTTGACAGCAATACGTAATGGGCCAAAGCGGGCAATATCTGCTAGTGCTGGGTTTGCTGATCTTACATCGGTTGAAGAGAGGAATGAAATATTCCTTGTTAGGGTGTGGAAACCTCTCCCTAATAAATGGATTTTAAAACCGTAGGCCGATAGCGATAGGTAACAGACCAAAACGAACAATATCTTCTAGCATTCTAGCATTGATGATACTAAATTTATGGGAGCGTGAAAGGGGTGCTATGACGAATTGACTTGGGCACCGAATTAAAATGAGTGATTCATAACCCAAACATGATACTCATAATAAGTGATTTGTAGAGCCAACAAAATGTCGTACTTCATTGTTTTGAAACAATGGTCAAACTTGGACAATGAAATTTGGGTCACCGGTTTAAAAATCTCACGCAATAACATCTCTTCCAATTCTTCGTCTTCCCGATTCATTTATCCAATTTTCAAGGATTTCTGAATCTTTCATTAGAAATGCAAATGCAATGCGCCATGGAATTGGTGGTTTCGTTGCTATGGAATCAAGGGCAACGCCGACTCTGTCTCGATTGGCCGACCTCCTCCTTGTTGCTTCCATCACCAAAACCCTATCGGAATCAGGTACTCGAACCCTTCAACACCAATCACTTTCAATATCGGAGCCTCTCCTCCTCCAAATACTCCGTAGCAGATCTGTTCATCCTTCGAATAAGCTCGATTTCTTCAAATGGTGCTCTCTCAGCCCTAATTTCAGCCATTCACCCTCCACATATTCTCAAATCTTCCGTATCCTCTGTCGCTCCGGATACCTCCATGAGGTTCCCCTTTTGCTCTCCTCGATGAAGCGAGACGGTGTTGATGTTGATTCTCACACTTTCAAGGTCCTTCTCGATGCGTTTATCAGGTCTGGTAAATTCGATGATGCTCTTGATATTTTAGACCATATGGAAGAGTTAGGGACTAGCTTGGAACTTAACACGTACAACTCTGTTCTCGTCGCTCTCGTCAGGAAAAACCAGGTGGGTTTGGCCTTGTCAATTTTCTTTAAGCTCTTTGATGCTTTTAGTACTGGAGGGCAAGAAGGTAGTGCTGTACCTAGTTTTTCCTTCTTGCCTAATGCACTTGCTTGTAATGAATTGTTGGTTGCTCTTAGGAAATCAGACATGAGGGTTGAGTTCAAAAAGGTTTTTGACAAGCTTAGAACAATTAGAAGCTTTGAGTTCAATGTCTGCGGTTATAATATATGCATTCATGCTTTTGGATGTTGGGGTTATCTGGATACTTCTCTTGCCCTGTTCAAAGAAATGAAGCAAAGAAGCTTAGTTTCGGTGTCTTTCAGTCCAGATTTGTGTACATATAATAGCCTTATTCATGTGCTCTGTTTGGTAGGGAAGGTAAACGATGCACTTATTGTGTGGGAGGAACTTAAAGGGTCAGGTCATGAGCCTGATGCCTTCACATACCGTCTTATAATTCAGGGTTGCTGTAAATCTTACCGAATGGACGATGCTACCGCGATTTTTAATGAAATGGAGTACAATGGATTTGTCCCAGATACCATTGTATATAATTCTCTCCTTGATGGGTTATTTAAGGCTCGGAGAGTTGTTGAAGCATGTCAATTTTTTGATAAAATGGTGCAAGAAGGTGTTAGGGCTTCTCCTTGGACATACAATATTCTAATTGATGGATTATTTAGGAATGGAAGAGCTGAAGCTAGCTACACTTTATTCTGTGATTTGAAGAAAAAGGGTCAATTTGTTGATGGTGTTACTTACAGCATCATTATACTGCAACTGTGTAAAGAGGGACTGCTTGAGGAAGCACTACAATTGGTTGAAGAAATGGAAGCGAGGGGCTTTGTTATTGATCTTGTTACTGTAACATCTTTGTTGATTGCAATGCACAAGCAAGGGCAGTGGGAAGGGTTAGAGAGGCTCATGAAGCACATTAGAGAAGGTGATTTGGTCCCCAATGTGCTGAAATGGAAGGCCAATATGGAAGATTCAGTGAAGTATCAGAAAAATAAAAGGAAAGACTACTCACCTCTGTTTTCTCCAAAGGAGGATCTGAGTGAGATTATAAGTTCAAGAGCTTCTTCTGTTGCTAAAGTTGATGATATTTCCGAAAACACAGAAGAAAAAGATGATGACAATTGGTCATCATCCCCACATGTAGATCTCTTGGCTAATCTTGCTAAGTCTACAGGTGATTCGTTGCAACCATTCTCTCTTAGTCCAGGGCAACGAGTTCAAGCAAAAGGGGACAACTCATTCGATATCGATATGGTCAATACATTTTTGTCTATTTTTCTAGCAAAGGGAAAATTGAGCTTAGCTTGTAAGTTGTTTGAGATCTTCAGCGATATGGGCGTGAACCCAGTGAGGTACACTTACAATTCAATGTTGAGTGCATTTGTGAAGAAGGGATACTTTGAGCAGGCATGGGGTATATTTAACGAAATGGGCGAGAAGGTATGTCCAGCTGATATAGCCACGTATAATGTGATAATTCAAGGACTCGGGAAGATGGGTAGAGCAGATCTTGCAAGTTCGGTTCTGGAAAAGCTAATGGAGCAGGGTGGCTATCTCGATATCGTAATGTACAACACGTTGATGAATGCGCTGGGGAAGGCAGGTCGAATGGATGATGTAAATAAGCTTTTTGAGCAAATGAGGAGCAGTGGGATAAACCCAGATGTTGTCAGTTTTAATACACTTATTGAAGTTCACAGCAAAGCAGGTCGGTTTAAGGACGCTTACAAATTTTTGAAGATGATGCTGGATTCGGGCTGTTCCCCGAACCATGTCACGGATACAATTTTGGATTTCCTAGGGAGAGAGATTGAGAAAGCGAGGTATGAAAAAGCTTCAATCATGCGTGAGAAGAACAGTTCTTGACTTTCCTGTTAACATTGGAGTTATTGTCTTTTTTCATTTCTATTGCAATTTTCTGTAGTCTTCCTGTAAGAATGGGATCTAGTTTGTTTGTGAATAAGTATTTAAAAGTCGGTCTAATTTACTTGATCGAGTAATTTTCCTGTTCTTGTATGTTCGGCCCTCGGAGTACAGAGAGATCAGAACTTGATAATTCATTCCATGATATTTTATTCTTGGCTCTACAAACACAGGCACCTATGCGTTATCTACTAACCCATCTTTGAATTCGAACTCAGCCCTTTAATATAATTACGTGATTAGTGTCACAGTTGCACTCTTGCGCTAGAGGAACAATGATTGTGGGGACACTTGTTCTTTACCTAGCGAACAAGTTATGTGAAATTCAGACTTTGCAGACAATATTAACGTATGCTTGAGCTTTGAGTCACGCTTGCAAGAAATATTTTGGAAAATGTGAGAGAACAAGTTATGTGAAATTCAGACTTTGCAGACAATATCAACGTATGCTTGAGCTTTGAGTCACGTTTGCAAGAAATATTTTGGAAAATGTGAGCGAACAAGTTATGTGAAATTCAGACTTTGCAGACAATATCAACGTATGCTTGAGCTTTGAGTCACGTTTGCAAGAAATATTTTGGAAAATGTGAGCGTAAAGAAAGCAATGTTATAAGCCAAAAGTGAGTATGGAACGACAACAACTTTGATAGCATAAACCCAAGTAGTAAAAATTGACAACTATCACATCTTCTTATAGTACTATTTGGGGCATTTTAACCATGGCGAGTGATAGATATGGTTTTGGTAATCGATCATACACCTTTACATTGACACAACATGAAACAGTAAAGATCTATCTAGTATTGACACAACATGAAACAGTAAAGATCTATCTAAGACGAATGTATGTAAAAAGGGGTTTGGAAGTTTGAAGGTTTTAATATTAGTGATCCAAACGTAAGCACTTGGAATTAAAATTGATAATTGTTTTCAAGTTTATGATACTCCTATGTTAGGATTTGAAAGAAACGTTAATAGCATCATCGTCTACTATTGATATGTTATGCTGATGCCCTACTGATCTCACTTATTCATTCAAACAAACATGATGAACGGCTTAATATGTACGTATTTATACATTTTCAATTTTATATTTAATAGAATTTCAAAATTTTAATTTTTAAATATGAAATTTGAGACACAAAATTTACAACTTCAAATTAGTCACTAAATTTGATTTTTCTTCTTTTTTAAAAGAGAAAAACATAGCTAAAAATAAAAACAAAAATAATTATATATTAAAAAAAATCAGCAAGTGGAGATTAAAGAGAGAATAAAGCATACTAATGGAACGGAAAGGGCGAGACGTTGAACAAATAACCAAAATCAAAACCAAATTGGGAAGCAAATAAAGCTTCCCTTCCCCTTCCCATTCGAATCCCTACCTCCAAACCATCTCCATCCATTCCCTTCCACCGCCTCACCCATGGATGAACAATTTCAATTGGAAGAACATCTCTCCACCAAATGGATTATGGAATTGAAGACCAAAGTTGTTCATATTAAGATCGCAGCCTCAGATCTCAAGGCTACATGATTTCTGATCCATTTATCCCTTCTTATCCGATTCAACCACGCCGCCAAATTCTCCAATCTTTTCTTGCCCTTCGATTTGCATCACAGGGTGGCGGTGGCGCCGATGTGGTTCTACTCTACCCGACCCGACTGTGAAGCAATATATATATTACCGCTTTTGGAAAATCAGGACGATGTCTCTGTTTGACCAATGATCATGGAGCAAGACCGAGGAGAGGGAGCTAAGGTTAGGGTTTTGATCGAGAAGGCTACCAACTCCACTGATTCCGAGGTCCATCCTCGCCTCCTCAAGGCCATCAAATCGGTTGTTCGGTCTTCCGACTCTGAGCTCCGAGTCGCCGCCCAAACTCTTATGGACCTTATGAAGCGCGACCATTCTCAGGTTTCTTGTCTAATCTTTTTCTTTCAAATTTCAGTTTCGATTTTATGTTCTTGAGTTCAATTCGTCGATTCCGACTTATTTTATGGTATAAGCGTTCATTATTTGTGATTTAACCTGAAGTTTGTATTTGATCGTTTCGGAACTTTCTTTGCCTTGGAATTGGATTGAAGTTTGGCTTAATTGACCCATTTATCTTAAGCAAAGACTGATAAATCTCCTTCAAACAAAAGGGTTTCTTAATTGACCCTTTAGTTGCTGCAGTCGATAGTTCATAACAGTGCTTGGATTGACAGCCTGCATCTTTTCCATGGAATAATGTGCTCTGAGAAATTTGTGAGCACTGTAGGTCATAATTGAGTGAAGAATTAAATTTTGATATTCTGGCCACCCAACTTGTAAATTGTGATGCATCATTTTGTGCTGCCTCTCTGCGGTTCTTCTGTAACTTAACACATGTTGTAAAATTATTTCTTGACCGTGACTGCGAGGTATATGCTTTTATCAAAATATGCTTGTTGTATATATTTTTTCAATGTGGAAAGATGCTTTTGTTTAGTTTGTGGCTTAAATCTCAGTTATAGGTTGGACTTGTTCATCAGGATAAGGTCATAATGAGGAGTTTAGTAATGTTTAAGAGATCAAGTATTAGAGGCTATTAGGCATATTTCCTCATTCTTTAGCATAAAGCGATAACTCTTGCTTAATTTTTTCGCTCTCTCGTTGACTGGTCTGGTAATGGAACGTCGGAATGATAGAAGTGGTAATCACATCTTTAGTTTGTCGTATTTGAGGGTATCAGTGTTATTTATCTTGATGTCTTCTTTTTATAGTAGTATAAGAAAAATTAAAGAACTCAGAATGAACCAAATGTCCTCTTGGTTACTGTTGTCTTAATGTTTCATCTTTTTGAGCTGTTGCAAATCTTTGTGAAGAGAATAGGCGGCACAGGGAGTAGCCTGACAGCAATGATGGAATTATATGAATCTTTTAGCTTTTTTTTTTTTTTTGTTGGCAGGTCCGCTATCTCACACTTCTGGTAATTGATGAACTTTTCATGAGATCAAAGCTTTTTAGATCCCTTGTTGTTGAGAACTTGGATCAATTGTTGACATTAAGTGTTGGATTCAGAAGAGATGTGCCACTTCCTGCACCAGCAGCTGTTGCATCTATATTACGTTCAAAGGCAATCGAGTTTTTGGAGAAGTGGAACGATTCTTTTGGTATTTACCACAGACAGCTTAGATTAGGTTATGACTACCTAAGGAACATTCTTCGATTCAAGTTTCCAAACATACAGGCAAATGCAGCACGGCGTCAGCAAGAGAGAATGAAAAGAGAAAGAAGGTCAAAAGAGATACTTCTTAGCAAGTTTGAAATGTTGAAAGGGAATTTTTCTTCTATCAAGGAAGAGATTCAATCGACTTTAGACGAGATCAAGGAGTGTTTGGATATTGTTCATTCTAAAGAGGATTCCAAAGCCATGATTCCCTTGGATGATGACATCACAGAAGACTTTCGACCTTCCGAGCTAAGACAGATTCGTCTTGATGCACTGAAAGAAGGGGAAATGGTTCATGAGAATAATGATAATAAAGTGATTTTTGATGCATTAAGGGAGGTTTACAAGCTCATGTCAAAACATCTGGTTTCCATCAAAGAGTGGATTTCTGTTCTTGTTAGGGTTGACTCAACGGACACAAGATTCAGGGATTCAGCCTTAAGGGAGTTCATCGACATACGAAATAGTCTATGTGCAGTGAAGAAGAGATGTGAAGAATCGGGTTGTACTTTTACAGAGAGTGCAAACCATGACGACAAAGATGAAGATTTCTGGGAAGAAGGTCCGGTGGGCGCAACGGAGAATGGAGATTCTGTTGCATATGAAAGGAAAAAAGAAGATGTTGCCATGAATGGAGGTACCTTTACGTACGAAAGGAAAAATGAAGATCTTGTTGTGGCGCCAACATCCAACGTGATTAAAAATGCAGGCACTGAAACCATTAGTGAGGCACATGTTGGCAAGGCGGTGCAAAATGGCGAAGTTGGTAGTAGTGATTCAGCCCCCTCCCTAAGGAATAAGCTCTTAGCTGATGCTCCAGTTATTGAATGGGGCTCTTTCTTAAATACGTGGGACTCCAAGATGGATATCCTGGCTAACCAGCGAGGATTAGAGCTTGAAAGTCACTGGGGTCGAGTAGACTACGACGCAACAATTCCTGCAGAGAAAATTGCAGAACTAAATGTCCGGGCTTCACTGTACAAGGAAGATCAACCCGAAATTCAACCATGTCGGGCTCCTTTAAGAAAAGGAGGACTTTGTCAGAGAAGGGATCTAAGAGTGTGCCCATTTCATGGACCTATTGTGCCGCGTGATGATGAAGGACGACCATTCGACACGAGCTCTTCATTGGATGAAACAACTCCTCCCGATCAAGAGATGGGATCCGTTGAAAAGTTAGTGAAACAGGCTGTGAAAAACGTACGTGCCAGAGATAAAGAGGCAGTGGCGAAGCGAGAACGTGACAAACAAGCACTGAAACGTGCCAAACTTGCAAAGATTAGAGAGCACAATGAAGCTGTTTTGCGCGACGCTGCAGTGGCATCGACATCAAGATCTTCTGGTTTGGGCGAGTGTATGGAAACAACTGGTGAAATGAGGGGATCAGCTGGGAAGAAGAAGAAAACACTTGCATCGATGCTGCGTAAGAAGACGTTGACAAAAGATCGAATATCGCAGAGGCTTTTAGGCATAAGGTCCAGGGATTCAACTCAGAGGCAGCTTACACTGAGTCAAGGAGCTAACTATGGCGATGCATTCCCAAATCAGTGGTAAATCCCGTCTCCATAACTTGTGGGACTAAAGGGGAATGGCTGTCCATACATGAAACTGTTTATTGGATTAAATTTTGTATATTCCTTTGTTTATTCCATGGGACATCTGAGTGAAGCAAATAAGATAAAAAAAACAATATGTTTTTTTTTTAATTAAAAAAAAAACAGTATATTCCTTTGTTTGTATTATTTTTCTAAATTTTATTCTTAAAAAAACAAATAAAATTAGAATATTATAAGAAATAAAATAAAAGGTCATAAATTTCAATTAGTGAATATCATTCCATAAGTAATAATTATTTCAATTTTATAATTAAACTATAGGATTTGTTTGCCA